CGCGCGCAGGGAGGCACTAGCGCGCGCGCGGGGGGCACGTGCGGGGGAGGGGAGCACGGGCGTGTGCGCGGCGGGCATTTTTTAAAAATTAAAAAAAAAATTAATTTCGGTTTTTTGCGACGACTTTTTTAGACTTGTCGTCGCTAAAAAATAAGAGTATTTGCGACGACAATTTGAAATGTCGTCGCAAAAAATGATCATATAACGAGAATTTTGCAACGACGTATTAGCGACGCCTGTCGTCGCAAATACAGAGTGTCGTCGCAAATACATTTGCGACGACACTATGTCGTCGCAAAAAACGTTTTTGCGACCAATTTTTTGCGCCGACAAATTTGCGACGACTTGTCGTCATAAAAAAATTTATTTGCGATGACATTCGGGTTTTTGTGACGACTTTTTGTCGTCGCAAAAACCCCCTTTTTCTTGTAGTGCCCCCTTAAGCACACGTTTTATAAATTGTTTTTAAATTGCAAACCACCAACAAACCTTAACTAAAGATGAAAAACATATCTACTTAGCTATACCAACTGTTTTGTTTGTCGTTATTTGTGTGAATGCACAAATAAAAGGTCAACTAAAACTAAAAGCTCAAGTTTTTTTCTTGTTGACTAATTAAAATGACTGGCCAATGATTTCTATAAATACAACTCTACTTGGAACCATAACGCCATTATCAACACGCTCAAAACCAGTATTACTACTTTAACAAAAGAGGAGAGAATAGGGTTTTGGATAAAGATGAAAGTCTCCAGTTGTCTTAATATGAAATTGATCAAGCTTCTAGCAATAGCACACGTGGCTGTAGCCTTATTTAGTTGTTGTTATTATTATTTCTCTTTTAATAATCAACAACAACGGATTGCGGTTAACGTTACTCAGAGTTCTTATGATTTCTTTTACTTTCTCCAATCGGTTAGTGAGATACATATCCTCGCTTAATTTTATTATACATTTTTTCGGTTGTTTTTACTGTCAAATTATTGCAAAGACTATTATCCGATATTTTTGGCATGTCTTTTTCTAATTAGTTTCTTTCCTTTGTTTCCAAATAAATCAATGCAGTGGCCAGGTTCAATCCATCCAACACCTACAGGAGCTCCGGAGAATTTTGCTATTCATGGTCTATGGCCTCATTTTAACGATGGTTCCTATCCTAAAAACTGTACTCCCCCTCCTCCCTTCGATATAAACGAGGTACATGCTACTAAAAAGGGTCCACTTATACCAAATATTAATTTAAAAATCTTTAAATATTTCAATACATATTAGAATCCAAACAAAATACTAAAATAGTCATACTTAAGCAAACCCAAACACTTATGCAAATATTATACTAATAAAATCTTAATATTACAAAAATTAAACGCTCTAACAAACTGAGGCCGGTGGTGGTGGATGATCTTTCTTTTTGGGACGGAAGGTCCAGGATGATCTGATTGTGGATTTATCTGTTGAAGTAGCTTTTGAATAAGCTTTTATTGTTGCTTCATTAGAATTTCCATATCCGACATACGACGTTTATTTTTCTGAACTTCATTTTTAAGCTTTTCATATCCTGACCCTCTAGATTTACGAGCTTGTGGCGCTTTTCTTAGTACATGACCTATGTCACGCTTGAAACCATATTTTTCATACCTCTCACTTGACAAAAAGTTTGGTCTCTTAAAGTGATTATTCTTGTAGTGTTAATTAATCTTTGTACTCATTCAATGTTCATAGGGCAACTATCTTTTACTATTTTTTATGGGACAATTTATATATATATATATATATGCACTTCAATGTAATTAGGTCTTGGCGCTCTAATCAAAATAAAATATAGACCTCATTTATTTCACCAATTTGAGTTTTCAATTCCAGTTTTGTTACAGTTAAAAATTCTCACAAAAGTCACATCTAACTTTTTTTGCTACAGTTAAAGGCTCTCACATAAAGTCACATCTCAACTCAAATTGAAAACTCAAATCGGCGAACTGAACGAGGTCATAATATAAACAAAACATCTAAATAATTTGCACAAATGGTCCCCAACCTCTTTAGTAAGTGACAGTTTGGTCCCTAAACAAAATATCTAAATAATTTCACAAATGGTCTAAAAAGTAACGGGACAATGCACGTGACCCTCCACTTGACCCATATTTATGGTGGAAAGACAAAATTGCCTTTAATTACTCTTCTTCTTCTTCCTCGAATTCCCTTGCTCTTCGTTCTTGCTCTTCTCTCTCTCTCTCTCTCTCTCTCTCTCTCTCTCTTCCTATTTCTGCTTAGGCCGTACTGAGTAGCCGATTTAGGCTTAGTTTAGGAGTGCTATAGATTTTAGAAAAATTGCTTTTAGTTGTGCTGAAACAAGAAGCAGATGTTATAAAAGGCAGCTGGGTGTTTGTTAAACTATAATTATAGTAGCTGTGCTGGTTCCAAAATCAGTGTAATAGCGTTTGGTAAATTATGAGGTTGAATTGCTGTAAATAGTTAAAAAATAATATAATATATATTATTACAATATAATATATATTTATTATTATATTTAATATAATACAAAAAATAATTATTATATATTATATTATATAATTATGATATAGAATATAATAATATTATTAAAATAATAACTGAAATAA